CTACTACTTACCTTTGGATAGTTGTAGCCAGGCCTTGCACACCCCAACATCTGCCTCGCTGGCCCATTTCTTTGGCAAGGCTTTCCTGAAGGCCTCTGTGGCTAAAAACAAAGCTCAGGATCGATCCAGAGCTCAGTTATCGGCTGCAGAGGCCTTCAGGAAAGCCTTGCCAGCCGGAGAAGAAGTTCCTGAAGGCCTCTGACAGCAAAAAGGAGACTCGGGGCGATGTGCACAAGTGAGGTTAGTCAATGGATCGACATCCCCCGAAAATAAGACCTGCTGCCTTTTTTTGGTGGCAAATATATATATTTAAGGCAGGGTCTTATTTTGGGGGAAACACGGTAAAACGCATGGAAAATGAATAGGTGGTTTGGGTAGTTTATTCAAATGATCTTAGGATTTGAAATGGTTACAGGGTCTCCTGCTCGAGCAGGGGGTTGGACTAGATGATCTCCAAATTCTGATTCACGGATTGAATTGAATTTAAAAAATGAATGTACACACAATGGACTTACCGAGGTACAATAGTTATCAGCTCTTCCACAGATTTTCCATTTAAAAAAATATCCATTTTGACAAGATCTGCGGGCTGGTATCCTGTGTCTTCATAGTCAAAGCTGAAAACAGAAGAGAGTTCAACTAATGAGCGGTGTGTGTGTGTGTGTGTGTTGGACTAGAAGACCTACAGGGTCCTTTCCGGCTCTATTCCGATTCAACGATGCATCATATGAATAGCGTTCTGAAAGGTACAATTTCTAATGTACACAAGTAGTCCTCTACTTACAATGGTTCACTTAGTGGCCATTCAGTTCACTTAGTGATGGGTTTCCCTGTGGATTTTGCGTGTCAGAAGGATGTAAAAGGGGATGGTGGGACACTCCCCCCAGGTGGGACATTACGCCCATCATAAATACGAGTCGTTTGCCAAGTATCTGAATTTTGATCAGGTGACCAGGGAGAAATTTCAACGGTCGTAAGTGTGAAAAACGGTCATTTTTTTTTTCAGTCATGTAACTTTGAACCATCACTAAGTCAACTGTTATAACTCGAGAACTACCTGTACATACATGTGTATGGACACGTATCAGAAGTCCTTGTGGCCTTCAATGGATTTGGATATCCTGTGTGTTTCGAGCCCCAGGTAAAAAAAAATCAAATTTTCAAAAAATTAATAGATAATAATAATTGGATCTCCCAACTTCAAAATTATACAAGTGTGGGAAGTCTTAAACTGTAGAGTTGTAATTGCTGGAATGTTCCAATCTCGGATGGCAAACCTCAGATAAAGAATGTTTCCAAGCAAATACAACTCAGGCAAACAAAGTCACCAATCTATGGATAAAGGAGGATTAGAGAGGGGAAGTAGACATATGTTAGACTTTAACTAGAGATAATTAATTGTATGGATTACTGTGCTGAACAGTAACGAAAGTGAAGCAGTAACCAATGTTTACCAATGATGGAGGATAACTAAAAATGTATATAAATGCAAGACTATACTCCAATAAAGACTTTCAGATCATCATCATAATTCAGTTGTTCATGATCAAACAACTCGACTATCTTGTCATTACAACATTAAACCTGTTCTGACCTTGGCTTCACCAAAACCACGAAGCCGACTCCTCGTCCCAACAAAACCCCTTTTATTTAGACTAATGTGAATTCTTCCCATTCACATCTAGCAAAGTGCTGGCCAACAGTCTTTCAGGAGTGATTTACAATCACAGACCTTTATCAGGCTTGGAAAGTCGCCAGGCCAATAGCGTCCAAACGCCACACTGTAGCAGAAAACAGTTGGCAAAGAGTCACAAACAAATCAATTAAACGAACTCCTGCAAACACCACTCCCCTTTCGCTCCTCTTTATTCCCTATGGGAGGGACCATTCACCGTCCACCTGTGGCTTTACTTCCAAGTTGACTGTTCCTTAACCGTTCCCTTCTCCTGGCAGCTCTACGCATGTGCACACTGGGAACAGGCTCCAGCTGTTCTTCTTCCCCACTGATCTCCAACTCTGAAGACAGCTGATAACTGTCAGACAGCCCTGGCCCCATCTCTGCCTCGGACGCAGAGCCCTCGTCAGACTCCAGGAATGGCCCATGTTCCTCTCCAACCTCCTCACTGTCTGAATCTGCCACCAGCTCCACTGGCCACTGACGGGCCACAACAAAACCATAAGAACTAAGTTAATTTACCTGGCATAACCAGACGACAAGGATTTTAACACATCAAAGAAATCCACCACGATTTCATTCAGCGGGAAGAGATAAATCATCATGACTCTGTGTTCATCCATGTACACCATGTCCTTCTGAACTGCTCTTCGAGTCTGAAAAAAACACATAACAGTCTGAGATGAACATCTGAGATAAAAAAACTTTTGGCTCAATGTTGGGGAGATGTAACAAATAAAAACCAACTGGCTTACATTGAAAACTGAACAGAAAGAAGATACAGAATATTATCAAACGTGGGACTTATTTTACCAGCGGTTGGGAAAAAGGGAGTGGAAATTAAAAACAGAATCTGTATCATTAAGCAAATTAAATATCCAGACACAATGATATTTATTAAGCACTAACGAATACAAACAGTAGAAAATTAATAAAATTAATGAAAAATAAAAACCAGCTGGGAAATTTAACATAGCAAATGATGCAGTCAGGTTGCTGGTCTACTGAGATTCTCAGTCAACCAGGTTGTCCCAAAGGTGTTTTTTTTCCCTTTCTTGACAATAAGTTTTAAAGGTTTAAATTTTTTACCAGCCTGCGTTGGGCTGGTGACAGCGTGCATTGCTGGTTGAGATACACTGATTTAGAATTCAGGGTTTACTACAGCAAAGCCAGACAAATGGCTGCGGATGTTTACAATTCCTCGTGCCCCTCAGCTCAATAAAGATTAATCAACCGCAGAACGCATCAGAAATTACACCCTCTACACCACCACCAGTGGTGGGGTTCCAAATTGTGCGCTACCGGTTCTGTGGGCTTCTCAGCACTCAAAAGATCGCCCTTGTGTAGTACTCAAAGATCCCTGAGTTTTTTTAGCTCAACTGAGGCATCAGTGATTCTCCGCTCTGCCGCGAGAATCAACTGAGGTAAAAATCAAGGGAATAAAGGATGCGCGCAGCACTCAGAGATCACCTTCACATAGCACTCAAAGACAGCTCTTGTGAGTTGAGCTGTTTTTTAGCTCAGCTGAGGTGCAGCAATCCGCTCTGCCGCGCAAATCAACTGAGGTAAAAATCAATGGAATAAAGGATCCGCGCAGTACTCAAAGATCGCCCTCGTGCAGCACTCAAAGGTAGCTCTCGTGAGTTGAGCTATTTTTTTAGCTCAAGTTGAGGCGTGGCAATCTACTCTACCATGTGAATCAGCTGAGCTAAAAATCAATGGAATGAAAGATGGGAAAAAGCAGAGGTGGCATTTGCTGGTTCTGTGAACTGGCCAAAATTTTGCTATCAGTACATCAGAACTGGTCCAAACCGGCTGAATACCATCTCAGGCCATAACCTTCTCCACCTTATGTACCAACCTGGCAAAGAGCTAATATTTCTCCAATATATTCTTTAGGGGTCACTATAGTGCCTAAAACTATCGGCTCCAAGTATTCTTTCACCATGGAATGATCAGGAAACTCTGCAGGATTCACGATCGTGATTTCCTCTTTCCGATATTCCTGAGAAATAGGAAAAAAGAAGAGGAAAAGAGGGTATTTTTAAAGCTTTTCTAATAAAAGAAAAAAAATAGTACTCTTTAAATGATTTTTTTTAAAAAAACATATACACGGGCTGTCCTCAGTTTATACCCACAACGGGGCCCAAAATATTCTGTTTGCAAAGCAAGACAGCTGTTCTCACGGACAGAAGCGAATCCCTGCAGGTGATAAGTTACGAACCTGATTGTTCAGTGAATCCAGCTTCCCCATCACGGGATGCTGCAACCGTCATAAATACAAGTCAGTTGCCAAGCAGCCGAATTCTGATCATGTGACCCTGGGAGACTGCAACCTTGTAATCATTGCGAGCCCTAAATATGAACTGCTAAGGTCGTAACTCTGAAAAACATTTTTTTTAGTGGCGTAGTTTCAGTCACTAAATGAACTGTTCTAAGTCGAGGTCTACCTGTCCGAATAATTGCAAGCCATCCATACAACCTGAAGTGGAAACGGAGGACGTATAATTTTTAAGCAAATAAAGTAGGAAAACCCAGAGTGGCGTGGTGGCCTAGAGCTGTCGCCTCACAATCAGGAGGCTGTGAGTTCAATCCTAGGTAGAGGTGGATATTTCTCTCTCTGGGTACAATAAGAATATATCTGTTGAACAAAACTCCGCACTGGTGACAGGAAAGGCATCTGGCCAGGAAACACCCAGCTCCATTCATAGTTTGCTATCTGGAGTAAACATTTAGAGTTATGTCATAATTCTGTCTGCAACAGTGGTTCATCCTACATTTGTGTCATATTGCTTAATTGATTGATGGTTATTCTTCTTCTCACCCAATGCAGAGCAGGTATGACTTACTATCGTAATTAAATGTTACTTGAAGCCTCGGCTAAAGTCTAATTGGAAGGATCAAGGGCTCAGGAGGGATTCACGCAAGCATTGTCCAAAATCAATTTGTGCTTAAATTGGACTATTATTTAAAGCTCGTTCTCCGGATGAATTCTGCCCCAAGGGCCAATAGCAAAGGGAAACAAACCAGGATGCTAAAACTACCTGGATTTCCGGATATTTCCCAAACAATCCCAAATCATTTTCTAGAGAGCATTTTGAAACAACACCTGGATTTGACTAGTTGTCAGGACTCTTACAAATCTACCCCCGTTCAAATCGTAAGTCTCTAGCCGCATCTCTCAGAGAAAATAAAATTGATTTATTAGAAGTGACCACGTTGGTGTTACCTGGGTGCAGCCGACACTAAAGTACATCATTCATTTTCCCCTTGATCCTGGTCTTCTATCCACCCCCTGGATGTATATTCTCCAATGGGACACATCCATAGCCAAGAATCATCAATCATGCTTTCCAGTAATATTTCTGAGCACTGACAACTTTGGGCTGCCAGGGTGATTATCTAAGGCAGGGATGTCCAACCTTGACAACTTTAAGACTTGTGGACTTCAACTCCCAGAATTCCTCAGCCAGCAAAGCTGGCTGAGGAATTCTGGGAGTTGAAGTCCACAAATCTTAAAGTTGCCAAGGTTGGACACCCCTGATCTAAGGCATTTGAAGAATGCACTGTTTTTTCCCACTCCCTTTCTGCTTGGCAGTTAAAAAGACCAAAGGAGTATTTTTTTGTTTGTTAACACTAGCTCTATGCAATATGGACACTAAACCAAATCCACTCTGGCCTTGGCAAAACTCCATTATACTGAATTGTGGCAGCAGGATCAAAAGACAAATGATTCAACATATAGATTGCCAAAATTAGAGCCTATAATGGAGACTTTGCTGATTTCCTGGCTGCGACAAATGAAGCAAAAAATCATAATAAACTATAACTAGCTCGATACTTCGTGCTTTGCTACGAAACTATGTGATCAAGGGCTTAGTTTTGGGGGAAGAGAATAAGGGGGGAGGAAATCTGCCTCTGCCTACCAGCATCCATCGGTATGCTAGCATCTTGTCAGCGTGTGAGAGAGTTGAGGGCTGTTTGGAAACTGAAACAGTATTTGCTGTGTGAGCCAGAAAGAGGCAGCAAGGAGCCTGGGCGTGGCTTAGCTCAACCGTTCTGTACTAAAGCTGCTTGGTGCTGTGATAACTAAAACTGAAACTCCTTTCCTCTGCTCGTGTTTTGCCTTTAGAAGAGTTTTTTTCAGGTGGGGAGCGGGAGTAGAACTCCTTAGCATCAGAGTGTGTTAATAATAATAATAATAATACTAATAATACTAATACTACTAATAATAATAATATAGGAAATACTCTAAATGCTCTGATGGTTTGGAAAAATCCTTTCTTAGTGAGACCCTAGAAGCCAAGAGGAACCTAAATGCCAAATTTCAAGTTTGTAGGCTTTACAGTTCTGGTGATTTTGTGATGATGCCTGAGTGGTGTTTAGATCTAGACATTCCTTTATAATGTTTTACATTTTCTATTTCATATTTTAGATTTTGATCTCTTTTTTAAAATCAAAATGTGATGTTGATGTGCCATATGATAAATATATATATTCTAGAGCTTCAAATTTGACAGCTTTTAAGACTTGTGGACTTCAACTCCCAGAATTCCTCCTCCAGTCATGTTAGCTCAGGAATTCTGGGAGTTAAAGTCCACAAGTCTTAAACTTGCCAAGTTTGAAGACCCTTATTCTAGAGGAAAATGTCTTATTTGAGAGCTTCATCATCAAAGTCCTGGAGAATTCAACTAAATTATGGAAACTGTTCAGAATTACGCTCACTTTATCCTTACACACTGATGATGATTTGAGACTTTCTTTTTGAAAATCATCACCTTTATCAATTTGGGGGAAGAAAGGATCGCCTTGTACGGAACGGTGGGAGCTGTCAAAATGACCGAGGTGTTGTGTTCTTGCTCCAAGCGCTGATTAAAAACTTCCATATGTAAAAGGCCAAGGAATCCCAACCTGTAAATTAAACATTTCAATCGACATTTTTAAAGATACCAACCTGCAATTTGCCAAATTAAATACCTTCAATTTCCAAGCCAAAGGAAAGAAAATGTGTTCCAAATTTTGCATTTCACTGGTATGGTCGTCTACCAGTTATAAAATACAAACAAGGAAAATTACACTCCATTTCAGTAATTCCACCGAAAGCTATAAGCTACTAGATCAATACCCGTGCCTTTGCTGAACAGCTGACAGGGAGTGGGAGTGTGGCTCTAGTGGCTATGAAAGAAACGGGGGAAGGGCACAGTCTGGCTGGACATTCAGAGGAAGACCCAAGCCCATCCCCTCTTCATCCTAGGGCATGCAAGGAGGAATGGAGAAGGGAGCAACGTGGCTTACAGGAGAGGAAAAGGCCCTGATCCCCTTTCATTAATTGCAGCTGGGAGAACAGGATATAATAGGGGCGTTTGCACACAGCTCTTTGCTGGAAGCAAAGTGTGCATTATCTTGGTCGAGGCTAATCTGGGTTTTGGCGTCCTCCCAACTGTGGTTGCTGCATTATCTGTTGGAAGTCTGAAATTTATCATCCTGGCCTGCCGTGTTAATTACTTCAGTGTGGTTTGTGTTGGTTTTTTAAAATTTCTAATTATCTTTACTTGGGTTCGGACTGCGTTTACTCCCTTCGCAGACTGGTTTTGGAAGAGTTTGATCTCCAGCCGAGGATAATTGGACTTTGGGGCCCAAGTTGGAGGCATTAAAGGGAATTTATTCTACTTTTGTGACTTTGTTATTTTTGTGTCACGCCCCAGGTCATCACATCAGAACAGAGCTGTTGTAAGTCGAGGACTACCTCTCTCAACGGATGCAGGGGTACTCACCTCCACCCGGCCCCCAAAGCCAGGCTGTTGTCACGCTGAACGGTGACACTGGAGTCATTGAGGGTCAGTTTCTCCAAGGCCCCCTTCAGGTTAGAATATTCGGACTGGTCCGTTGGAAAAACGCCTGTCCAGAGAGAAGGTGGTCTTTAGCCAGAAAAGCAACCATGGATGTCCTGTCGGTCTGGAGTCCCCAACTGTGGCAACTTGAAGACCTCTGGACATCAAGCCACGGCTGGCTGGGGAATTCTGGGAGCTGAAGTCCACCGGTCGTCAAGCGACCAAGGTTGGACACCTCAGCTTTAGATGATCCTGCATTGTTGTTCGATCCATTTTAATACTGGTAGCCTTTTTGGAATGATGGACCCCAGTTGACTTCCTTCTCCTTCTCCTCCTCTAGTTTACTTGGAAATCTGTCTGTCTGTCTATTGGTCTGTCTATCACCTATATCTATCGATTCATCTATATCTCTATCCATCTCTCCATCCATTCATCCACCACTATCTATCCACCCACCCATCCATCCCTATCTATTCATATCTATCTCTCTATATATCTATAAATCTCTATCACTCTATTCATCTATATCTCTATCCTTCTCAATCCATCTATATCTCCATCCATCCATCCATCATCAGAACTGCTCATGTCCTTGCAGAGAAGGGGACTCTGGGCAGTGCACAATATCAACATTTTGAAATGTTAATTGAAATTTAAATGTTCCCTCTCTCTCCCTCTCTTTCTCCCCCTCCCACCATTTCTCTCCTCCTCCCTCTCTCCTTCCCCCCCTCTCCCTCCATATTTTTCTCCCTTCCTCTTTCTCCCTCCATTTGTCTCCCTCTCCTTCCTCTTCCCTCTCCCTCCCTATTTTTCTCCCTCCCTCTCTCCCTCCATTTCTCTCCCTCTCCTTCCCTTCCCTCTCTCCCTCCCTTTCTCTCCTTCCCCCTCCATATTTTTCTCCCTCCCTCTCCCTCCATTTCTCTCCCTCTCTCCCCCTCCATATCTCTACCTCCTTCCCCTCCCTCCCTCCCTCCCTCCCTTTCTCTCTCTCCCTTTCTCCCTTTCTTTCCCCCTCTCGCCCTCCATCTCTCTCTCTCTCTCCCCTTCCCTCTCCCCCTCCATATTTCTCTCTCCCTTCCCCCTCTCTTAAACACTCCCCGCCAACCCCCCAAATCTTTCGACCGGTGCCCTCCTCACCTGCAAAGACCATGGGTTTCGCGGATTTAAACCCAGGGAACGGTTCCACCGGCTGGTTCTGCAAATAGACCGTATCTCCTATTTGGGCATCCATAATCTCTCTCATCCCAGCAATCATATAGCCAACCTGGCCGGCGTATCTAAATGAAAGTTTTTACGATATCGCATGAAGGCGGGCAGCAGAATCGGGTGGCATCCACTGCGTAGAATGCTACGAAAGATGGTTGTGCCAACTGGGACACGCAAAGTCTGTGGATGTTTTTAAGACGAGATTGGGCAACCATTTGTCTGAAATGGGAAAGGGAGTTCCTGAGCAGTGGGATGGCAGATTTCCCCCAGTAGGGAGTTGGACACAGTCCCTTCCAACTCTCGTTCATTCTTTTGTTCTTCCTATCATTAAGTGTCATACCTTATGATTCTCGGCTCTTGACAAATGTATCTTTTCTTTTATAGATAATGAAAGTATTTACACCAAGACAAATTCCTTGTGTGACCAATCACACTTGGCCAATCAAGAATTTGATTCTATTCTAATTTATGAAGGAGGTGAAGATGTTCTAGAGTCCCATGATCTGATTTTATCTACTAGACACAAGGACAGCAGTAAAGGTTCCCCTCGTACATGCGTGCTACTTGTTTCTGGCTCTAGGGGGCACCAGTGCTCATCTCCGTTGCAAAGCCAAAGAGCCAGCGCTGTCCAAAGACGTCTCCGTGGTCATGTGGCCGGCATGACTCAACGCCTTCGAAGGCTCACGGAACGCTGTTCCCTTCCCACCAAAGGGGTCCCTATTTTCCTACTTGCATTTTTTTTTACATGCTTTCAAACTTCTGGGTTGGCAGAAGCTGGGACATGGAATGGGAGCTCACTCCATGACCTGGCACTAGGGATTTGAACCACCAAACCGCCGACTTTTCCGATCGACAAGCTCAACGTCTTAGCCACTGAGCCACCGTGTCCCTCTGAGGCACAGCAGTACAGCAGGCCATGTATATGAAAGAAAAAGAAAAACATCGTTTTTCAAAGCAAATGAAAGGACATATTGACATGAATCAGTCTAACCTTTGCTCTTTGCTTCTGTTAAAGAAGTTGCTTGTCCTATTTTGCTAAGGATGGGGATCATTTGTTAGGAATTCATTCTGTAGGAGAATTGTATCCTTTTCTATCTGGTTTCTCGCCTCTGCAATTTGCTTCAGAGCTAGGCACACCCTTGGAGACAATTCCCAGGAACATCCTGCTCCATAGATAAGGGGGGAGGGGGGTGACTAGGAGCACGAACACACAAGGACTCTGTTGGAGACTGACTCCGAGGGAGAGAAGGAACAGCCGACAGGGAGTGGGAGTGTGGCTCTGGAGGCTGTGGAGGAAGTTAGGGAGACCCAGGCCCATCCCCTCTTCATCCTAGGGCACACAGGGAGGAGAGAATAAGGGAGAAATGTGTATGGAGCGGTCTGCGGGGAAGGAAAGGGCCCTGATCCCCTTCATGGGCTGCAGCTGTGAGGACCGTTTAAAAGGACAAATTGCGCATGGCCCAGTGCTGGAAGCAAAGCGTGATATAATTCTAGTCTTTCAGTTCTTATCTGAGTTCTGGCATCCTTCCCAGTGTGTGTATTTCGATATCTGTGAACGTCTTCAAGCCCTTATCCTGCCTTGTCTCATTCATTGCTTCAGTGTGGTTTGTGTTGTTTTTTTCTATTTATAATTCATATGTATTTTGAGTTTGAACAGAAGTTCTTTCTTTTTGCAACTGTTTGTGGGGGAGTTTTTTTCTCCAGTCAATGATAATTGGAGCTTTGAAGCCAAGTTGAAGGAATTAAAGGGACTTCACCTGTTTTTTGTGACCTTTGTTTCTGGTTGGATAAACCTTGTTTCTATCAACGTAAAAAGTATATAATACTCTGAGCCACTCTCGCAGGGTGTGGCTATTCCTTACGTGCATTTTGTCTGTATGTTTTGGACATAGTATTCACCCATTTTGTCTGTATGTTTTGGACATAGTATTCACCCAAACTTTTTGCTTTTGCTAAACAATTAAAAAAAACCTGTTATAATTTGCAAGCCTCGTCTTTGGTATCTCTTTGGCCTGGGGAAACTTCTGGGACCTTACACAAACAAACAAACAAATATCGCAGCCTTAAGAATAAGAAATCAATTGACATTTGCTATTGGGGAGCAAGAAGAAAAAGAGTATTATAAAATATGGGATTTATTTTATCAATGGCTAGATAAGAAAATAGAGAAATAAAATATATTATAATATAAATATAACATAACGATAATGAAATGTAATGATATGTTATAATTGATTACTATGGAAAGAATCATAATGTGGTATCTTATATTTGATTATTGTGAAATGAATAATACTATGAGCTAGGTTTTATAACAGTTGAGTCTTGCTCAAAAAGGATGAGGTGAACTTGCAATTACAGTCTGATAACGATCTGATAATAATAATAATAATATGATATTATGCGGATAGTAGTCTTATATATTATGAACTGTAATATAAAATTAAGAGGGAATGACTGTTGATATTGTGCACAAGAGATATGTACCAACCCACACACTGTATAAGGGAAAGAAGATTTTATTTAACGTTGTATGCTTTGTGTTTATGTTTGTGATTAAAAATAAAAAAATTGCAAAAAAAGAATAAGAAATCAAGCTACTTCCAATGATAATATTGTCTCTGTCTCTCTGTCTCTCTGTCTCTCTCTCTCTCACACACACACACACACAGTGTCAACTGTGCTGACCTCTCAGTCATTCTCTCTCTCTCCCTCTCTCTCTTTTGCTTTCCAAAACTTACAGTTTACCAGTCGGCTGCTCATCGGGCGTCAGAATTCCTACTTCATTCACTTCGTAAACCTTCTTAGTGTGAGACGTTGTGATCTTGTGGCCCTTGTGGATTTCTCCACTAAACAGTGCAATGTTGGCGATCACTCCTCGGTAAGTGTCAAAGGTCGAATCGAAGACCAAGGCTTTCAAGGGCTCATGGATATCAATCACGGGCCTGTGACAGGTGTCACCAAAAAAAACCTGTAGAAAACTATCGCTCGGAATCGAGTGCTTTCTCCTCCCGCTCCCACCAAAAGAAAAGATCCGATTACAACAGCATTTAAAACAACAAGAACGTACACAGGTAGTCCTGACTTAAAACAATTTGTTTACAACCATTCAAAGTTAGAAGGGCACTGAAAAAATGTGACTTATCACCATTTACCCCAGTTATGACCTTTGTGGTATTCCCATGGTTCATGTGATCAAAATTCAGATCCTTGGCAACTGGCATGTACTTATGACAGTTGCAGTGTCCTGGGGTCACGTGATCCCCTTTAGAAGAGAATAATAGAGTTGGAAGGGACCTTGGAGGTCTTCTAGTCCAACCCCCTTCCTAGGCAGGAAACCCTATACCATTTCAGACAAACGGCTGTCCAATCTCTTCTTAAAAACTTCCAGTGTTGGAGTATTTACAACTTCTGAAGGCAAGTTATTCCACTAGTTAATTGTTTTAACTGTCAGGAAATTTCTCCTTAGTTCTAGGTTGCTTCTCTCCTTGATGAGTTTCCACCCATTGCTTCTTCTCCTGCCCTCAGGGGCTTTGGAGAATAGCTTGACTCCCTCTTCTTTGGGGCAGCCCCTCAGATAGTGGAAGACTGCTGTCATACCCCCGCCGGTCCTTCTCTTCGTTAAACTAGACATACCCAGTTCCTGCAACTGTTCTTCATATGTTTTAGCCTCCAGTCCCCTAATCCTCTTGGTTGCTCTTCTCTGCATTCTTTCTAATCTCAACACCTTTTTTTACATCGTGGCGACCAAAACTGGATCCATTATTCCAAGTGTGGCCTTATCAAGGCCTTATAAAGTGGCATTAACACTTCAGGTGATCTTGATTCTATCCCTCTGTTAATGCAGCCTACAACTATGTTGGCTTTTTTGGCCGCTGCAGCACACAGCTGGCTCATATTTAAATGATTGTCCACTAGGACTCCAAGATCCCTCTCACAGTTACTACTATTGAGCAAGTTATCCAGGGGTGGGATTCAACCGGTGCAACAACTGGTTCGGTGAGCTTGTGATTTGCGTGCGGGTGCAATGTTTGAAAACTCAGCGTTTCAGCTCTTAATACTTACCTTCCACTGCAGCCCGGTGAGTAAAACAGCTGAGGCACGACAACCGCGTGAATCAGCTGAGCTGTGAAACAGGGAAATAGGATAGACTAGGGCCACGATGGCAAACCTATGGCATGCGTACCGCAGGTGGCACGCAGAGCCATTTGTGCAGGCAAGCGAGCCCCAGGCAAACTTACCTGTACTGTTCATGTGCGCTCCTCCCAGCTGATTTTTGGGCCGTTTGAGGCTTTTTTTGGCCTCCCAGAGGCTCAAGGGAAACCTCTGCAGCCTTTGGAGGCCGAAAAACAGACCCGTTTTGTCACTTCCGGTATTTCCGGAAAGTGACGAAATGGGTTCATTTTTCGGCCTCCAAAGACTGCAGAGGCTTCCCTCAAGCCTCTGGGAGGCTGAAAATCATCTGGGAGGTGCGCGCATACGCAGTGCAGGTAAGGGGGTAGTGTGTGTGGGATCATGCATACATATGCAGAGGGCATTGGGGGGGCAGCGCGCATTGCCTTCTGAGCGCACAAGCACAAGCGCACAAGCAATTTTCAGCATAGGAGCCCCAAAAGGTTAGCCACCACTGGACTAGGGCAGGGGTGGATGGGCGGGGCCAAATGATTACTGGAACAACCGGTTCGCTCGAACCGGTCCGAACCATTTGAACCCCACCCCGAAGCTATCTTAAGAAGACAGGTCATGAAGCAGGGCAAATCTCACTTAACCAATGTCTCACTTATCAAAAGAGGAATTTTCAGCTAAAGTGGGCTAAGTCAGTTTTTCCAGTGCTGTTGTAAAGTTGGAACGGTCACTAAATGAACTGCTGTTAAGTTGGAGGACTACCTGTTTATATTCAAAGGTCCAAATTGATGGAGAAAATGCGACAGAAAAGCCAACTTACGGGGGAATCCTTTCAATCACCGCCTGAAGGATTTTTTCAACGTTTGTTCCAAGTTTAGCTGAAATCTGAAATGAGATTTAATTTTTTTTTTAAAAAAAGAGGCAATTTGGCCTCATTTCAGGGATGGGTCTTTTTTTTGGGTGGGGGCAATATTTCTTTTAATTTTTTGTTTCAACAAAGATACCCTTGTGTAAACGGTGTGGTTCTGGAGTGTCTTACATTTTAAGACAAATATGACAATATTCTTCATATTTAATACAGTTGATAGTTAATATTAATACCCATATTTTGTTAAATTATCAATCTTAATTATTCAATATTACAATATGTTATTTTTATGTCAATCTCTTGATGTCACTCCTTTTACTTTAGAGAATATATTAACAATAAGATTTGCAGTGTTTAACAAATTATATAATTCTAATAGCAATTCACAAATTTATATTGAATTATAATTTTTCCATTATGTATCCCTATCTAATTTTTAATTATGCCACTATTATATTTTTTTAAATTCCCCTTTCTGGTCATATTTTGGATGGCTCTAAGGCACCCAAACTAACCCACAGGTATTTGTAAACATAAGAAGGGCTCTTACTCTAATGCAATCTTCTTTGAGGATATCAAAGGTATTCTCAATCTGATTTTCAACCATCTCTGGATCTGCGTTCTTGAGGTCAATCTGCAAAATAATGATACTGTTATATTAATTCAAATCAGATCAGCCCCTACCATGAAGCAAAGCTGGAATTCCATTGCCAGAAAATGAGAAAAGATAACATATTCATTGGTATTAGAGGTGGGCTGTGCATGAGGTGATATTTGTGCATTTATTGTTGTTATAATTTTTTTACTAATAATCTGAATAAACATCTGGATCTTTTAAGGCAAAGAAGATTATTTAGAGCAAATATGTGAAATAGCTTGACAAATAAGTGTAGTCTTAGAAAGTGCCTAAAATAAGCATTTTAAAAAGAAAATCCAGTTTGGTTAAGGCACCAGGCTAGAAATTAGGAGATGGGGAGTTCTAGTCCCGCCTTAGGCATGAAAGCTGGTTAGGTGACTTTGGGCCAATCACTAGGAGACAGTGAGTTCTAGTCCCGCCTTAAGCATGAAAGCTGGTTGGGTAACTTTGAGCCAAGCACCAGGAGACGGTGAGTTCTAGTCCTGCCTTAAGCACGAAAGCCGG